AGGTGGTGGTGGCGGCGACTGAACAGGCGGCGGTGGAGGAGGAGGTGAGACTGGAGGTGGCGGCGGAGGTGGAGGGGGGAAAACGGGAGGTGGCGGCGGCGGAGTTGTTGATTGCGATCCAGGATTCACATTTTCCTGAGACTGCACGGCGATCCCGAGAAAACAAAGCAAAAACCCCAATGCAAATGCGATTGAGGTCGGGAATGGCGAATCCACGTACATCTTCACAATGAACACGGATCGTCGGAGCTTGATTCCCAGAGGCCTCCCCGCATCTGGGTCAGACTCCGATTCAGCAACACCTCCTCCGCCCGCCGAAACCCAATCCAAAAACCAAACAAACAGCCAAACCTCTACCAGAAACGATCTGAATCCTCGGCGCCGGACAATCTACTAGGGTTAAGCATCGACACGGGAAAACCGGATCCTGCCGCCGCGTCCTCCGACCCGAATTCAACAGAAAGTCGTGCGGAATATATGTTTATCCGATAAGGACAAATCGAAGAAAGGAATCGCAAGGCTGGCTTCCTTTTTCTCCCTCCTTTTCAGCTTCGTGATCCCCAGATTCTCAAAAATGGCGATGGCGTGGAAGTATGATAGAGAGAGAGAGAGAATGGGGACACGAAGGAAGGGGGGAAAAAGTGGGAGAGGAAAAAAAGGGGAAATAAGTGACGAAAAAAAGGAGAGTCAACGGTTAGTACTATGGGGGGGGGTGAATATCAATTTTTGATTGACTTGTTCAATTCACAAATTCCATCTTTTTCCATGTATAGAATGGAACATAAAGGTAGAATAAGTCTTTTAAGTGAGAAGTGGAGAAGGTATTTTCTCCTTAGCTTCTCATTGATGTTAACCCATGGAGAATATAGAATACTAATGATGATGAGTAATTTTCGTCAAAAAGGAAAATACTGACGTACCAAGTTTTGTATTACTCTTTAAATAATAAGAATGTGATCAATTCTTTGATGAAGGTGTTATATTTATAATACAAGCTTATTGCTAGGATCATGTTCTGAGTCTCTCTGGCTGCATGCCTCTTTGCACCTTGCAAGATTGGACAATGCTTTTGGATTATCACAACTTATTGAGTCAACTCTTAATATATTCTTCAAAAGTCACACTTTCTTGAATTGCCCTAATAAAAGAGTTAATGCAAGAAATTGTTATTAAGGTGGATAAAAATACTCCATAGTAAAATAGAACAATTTGAAGCTAGGAATGTCACGGGGATTCAAAATGTCGACTCGGACGTGTGGGGGCACATGATTGCTCATGTTGCCTATACATCATCCTTATGAGGATCTCTTTCTATGTTGCTCAAGCCCCTTTTGCAAATATTTCCTTATGTTGCTTTTCAATTTCCCGATTTCTTAAGATCTTAGCTTAAATAGTTTTTGTTGAGCATCTCATTGGAAGGGAGTAATTTGACAATATGAGGATCACCTTTGAGAGCCTCTACACAATACACAGTCCAACAAACGACGAGAATATAGTGGATCATCTAACCCTAGCCGCCTAATACTTGGGAAGGTTTTCCCGCTCCAAGCCAAGCATTGTTTTCCATTCCACCATCTATCCTATGATATCCTCAATTGTTATGGAATTGTGTTATGGTAACCTACCTTAAACCCCACCGCTAGGGTTTTCCTCATTTGCTCGTTAAAACGACTTGCAAATTGAGCTATCTCGAGGACACTGTAGTATGTGGCAACTCTCCAATTTTCAACAAAGCACTAGATGATAGATGTAAATCCACGAGAACGTATAATTGTAATAGAATAGGAATCTAATTCGCAAGTAATATAGAGAAACGAACTTTTATATTGTCATTTAAATGATAAGCGTGATTTCTTCTATGGTGAAAGAGAGATCATAAAAATCACACAGAACTAAACTGGCATAAAAGATGGTGAGCTCTCCATCTTCATATTCATTCTAGACTTCTAGTTTATACAAATCATCAAGTCTGCAGGTCACAGGTGAAATGAAGTACAAGACTCCTGCAACCTTTTAAAAAAACACTGAAATCCAAAAATAACATGAACACAACCGCCTAAATTCAATACTAATCCTTCATAAGATGTAAAATTTAGAAAGGGTAAAACGAAAATAACACATAAAGTTAATCGTTCCAACTAATTCATGTTAGCGTGTAGGTAATACAAGAACTGCAATATTAACTGAAGTCATCAACTGAAGTCATCAGAGAGTTTGAAGAAACGATATATTGTCACACTTACAGAAGCGAGGTTTCAAGAATGTACATTAGCATTAATCTATGGTGCTTATGGGATAGAGCGCATCGAGGAAGCAATTGGCCGCACTCAGCCCCATGCCATGGAGCATGCATAGTTAACCACCAGCTTCCCATCAAAGCCAAAATTCTGCATTTTAGAGACAATGAGTTAACTGTGTGAGATACAACGACCAATCCCTTCTCGGCTTCACATATTTGCCCCTTCTCTTATATTCATGTCGTAAACGTTTTTAAAATATGATGGAAAACAGTTATTTCATCATGCCCCACAATTTTATTTCCTTCTTGTTTTTTCAGAATCTGGCCATATTTTTTACCCCTCTCTTCCATCAATTTAATGCTGACTTCTTTCTCCCTTAAAATCTATTGAAACAAAGGCTTGAAGAAAGTAATGCAGACACCAAAAGAAAGTTGTGTGCTCTGAGAAATCGTTTTGAAAGCACGGATAATCAAAACAACTCACATTATATAGGTCATTTATCAACTCATCCGGATTTGGTGAGAAGGCACTATTGACATACACAAACTGAAACGACAAAATATATGTGTAAGATCATTTGCTCAGTTTACTATTACCAAAACAAACATTATACACCATGTCTATGTATAATATTGGCAATGTTAGATACAAGTACCAATGTCTCCCTGTGAAGTTGTCTGCACAGAAATTCAATTACTTTAGCAAATCTGTCTGTTCCATCAATCTGCTAAATAAAAATACCATTAGACTATGATCCAAGTCATCCAACCAATACGCACAAGTTCTATAAAAGATTTAAAAAAAAGGTTGGATTCATTTTTTCTTCAATTTGCATTATGTTAATCGGGCTACAAGCATTTTAAACTCTCAAAAGAAACTATTGAAAGAAAAAAAATACTACTTAAAAAGAATCCTAGTCCCACAACCCCAAAATGAAGCTAAACGAACTTTATTCACTTTCTTTTGCCTATTTTTTTACCCATTTGATAAAATAAAATATCCAACTTTTGATGTGGTTTTTGAATATACAAATTTTACGAGTATTTTTTTTTTTAATATTACATCAATTTTCAAATAAATTGAATTCAGAATAACTTAAACATCAATTTCCATAAGATCTAAACCCAAAAGTATCAAGAGATTAAACAGATTTCAAAATACTCCGTAAAACATTCAATCTTCCTGTATCCTGGATGACAAACAAAAGTAGAATCCAAGTCTTTCGTCTGGGAATACAAACAGCAACCTTAAATCTCCATGGTCTAATTAGGGTTAAAAAAAAACTGACCTTGAATTTAGACTGTTTGAGGATCGGAGCATCACCGGTAGCTCTCAAGTGAACAATTACTGCAAATGAGATTATGAAATCGAAAATCTCAATCAGTATTGACGATAATAGAGCCTTTAATCTGGAACGAAAAAGTATTAAATGACTACACAGTTTAGCACTAAAATTCGAAAAATTCAACGAGATTCGAAATCAAACATCCTTTGCTGACCTTTTCTCGGTTCGGAAGCCATGGAATCGTTTTGAGCACAAATTCATAAGCCAGAACGCATTACTCCTTTTGTTTTTGTTGTTTTCTAAACCACAGGGGTCTCATTTTTATTACCTTATTTTTTTACCTTTTTTATTTAACTCTTTTATCTCTTTGTTTCTTTGTTAAAAAAAATTAATCTTTTTTTAAGTTTTTTATAGAATTTTTTAAAAATCAAAATTATTTGTGTTTGAAATAAAAGTAAAAATAAAAAAATTAACATATACTACGTACTCCATCTATCTCAATCTATCTCAGATTAAATATTTTAAGAATAATTTTTTTGGTAAATTTAAAAATAAAATTAAAATAAAAAAATCAAAATATGGGGAAATGAAATAAAAAAACTGAAACATATAAAAATATACAAATGGAATTTTCAGATCATTTAAAAGTGCCCTTAAAATTGGGATGTCCAAGAAGAATTTTCTTTTTTACTTTTTGTTTTATTTTATTTCTTATTTTATGCGCCATGTTTTGAAGTTTTCAAATAAAGTTTTTTTACTTTTTATTTCAGAAAACAAAATATACAAAGTGTTAACTTGAAATGTAAAAATGCATTATACGTTAACTATTTTTGTTTTTTTTCAAACAAAAATAATTTTAAATTTTAAGAACATTATAAAAATAATTTTAAAAAAATACAAAAAGATTTGATTAACAAAAGAAACAAATAAAGAGAAAAAAGGGAAAAATTATAAAATAAACATGGAGTAAAAAAATAAGAAATGAGTACGAGTCTCCCATATGCTTTGGAAAATAGTACTACTGCTTTCTTCTTCGTTGGAAAAATGACCAGAAAATAATTAGAGTAGTATGAGTGCAACGTTTAGAAAACTCAAAAACTTTAAAAATACTCCCTCCGTCCTATAATGATCTTTCCGGTTCGCAAAACGAAGAAAAATCCAAAGTTTTTTCAATCTATTTTATCTAAATATTGGTATAGAAATAAAAAATAAAACATACATATTTAAAAACATACATATCTAAATAATTTTTTTGGTAAATTTAAAAATAAAATTGAAATAAAAAAATCAAAATATGGGGAAATGAAATAAAAAAATTGAAGCATCTAAAAATATATAAATGGAATTTTCAGATCATTTAAAAGTGCCCTTAAAATTGGGATGTCCAAGAAGAATTTTCTTTTTTACTTTTTGTCCTTTTTTATTTCTTATTTTATGCGTCATGTTTTGAAGTTTTCAAATAAAGTTTTTTTACTTTTTATTTCAGAAAACAAAATATACAAAGTGTTAACTTGAAATGTAAAAATGCATTATACATTTAAGAACATTATAAAATAATTTAAAAAAATACAAAAAGATTTGATTAATAAAAGAAACAGATAAAGAGAAAAAAGGGAAAAATTATAAAATAAACATGGAGTAAAAAAATAAGAAATACGGAGTAAGTACGAGTCTCCCATATGCTTTGGAAAATAGTACTACTGCTTTCTTCTTCGTCGGAAAAATAACCAGAAAATAATTACAGTGTCTATTTTCGGGCCACGGGCCCAAATCTATTTGGCTCCCTTTAAACATTTTTAACCAAAAACTGGAATCTAGTCCATTCTGTTTGATACCCGCTCCAATATCCAATCTACTAATTTCTTTGGGCTGGACCGAAATGGGCAGAGGTGGCAAGGGTCGGTCCATTTAAGAGATCCGAGCCAGGCCTAAACCCTACGCCTCATCCTCTTCCGCGCCGCCGCCGCCGCCGCCTCCTCCTCCTCTTCCTCCGTTCAGGTTCGATTCTCAATTACTTCACTTTCATATCTTTGCTCATTGACTTGCCTGGCTCTGATTTCTGCTATTGTATGACTCAATTATCTGTCTTGCTTTTGTCGGTGTTTGTTAGTTCCTGTAATTTCCCGAGATTTGTT